ATAGCGAACTTCACGCCAATCGCTATCTCCGTTTGAATCTTGCTAAAAGGTTAAATCAGAGAAATCGGTTCAACACCCCACCCCCCTCCTGGCACTGAGTGATTAAGCTGATTCAAGTGACATTCAAATTCACTTATAGACTTGTCGATTAGCTTCTTCTTTCCCGAGGGAGTATTGATAATGCATTAAAGATAGTATATCAAATTCTTACCCTATCATTATTAAGTTTACGGTGATGCAATCAAAGCAGGAACCACTCCGAATACATGGCTGCTTGAGAGAGCACACAGAAATGAACAATAAAAGGAAGGCGGTTTGTTTTCGAACACGCTCCATCTCCACGCCACCCAATCACTGCCACCCCATAGTTCAGACTGATTGAGTTACAAACAGATGCTCTTTTATCTTACCTCTCTTCATTCATTTGGCTTAAAGTTTGTGATGGGTTCTTCCATTCAAAATGGGTAAACAAAAAAAACCCACTATGTTCTGTTCTTGCTCTACCCAGGTGACAAGTGTAATAGAAAAGTCTCCGATTTCAGATTTTTCCAAAGGAACTTGGAATTAACAGTGGTGCTAAAATCCAGATTCGTGCAGACGCTAACCTCATAAGCATAAACTATTTTTCAGCAGACACAGTGTAGTCAGTTTTGTATTATTGACCTTATGCGTCGTCCCTCAGTTTTTGACACGACTGTCGTCTGGTAAGGAAATGTAATTTACGATGTTATGAAATTCGATTTGATTTTTTGGCATTTTCAGGTACAGCAACATCTCCACGAGTTGACTCATCTTCGCTTCCAAAACTCAGAGTTGGAAATTCGCTTGAAAGCAACCCAACGTGAACTGGAGGCGAAATCCACGAGATTGAGCATTCTAGAAACCGCACAGGTGAGTGTATCTCGAGCTCAGAAGCCCATTGGAGGGGGTCTTGGATTAATTTTCCGTGAATTTGTTGGTACAAACGCTGCTCTGGGTATTTGTATCGCACTGCATTCATTGAAGATCAGTCGGTGAACAAATTAGCCAAATAGTTTTAAAACTACTGAGACGATATCCGAGCGACAGATGTTGCGTGCCAAACATCAAACTCGGAGACACTCTAACGGAGTCCATGGTCTCATGGAGGTTTCAGGAATTGACTTCGCCTCAGTTTATGCAATCATTTTTTGTGTGTCGCGGTTTCGACTATTTTCTTCAGCCCACCTATTTTGGATC